ACAAACCCAGAAACACAGAACATTGATGAATCTCTGCTAAACCAGTAGTAAAATATTCATTAAAATTCAAGAAGGAAGATATCTGAATCCCATGGGTTCTTAAGCACTTTCATGTCATGGACCCTTTGGCAGTCAGGTAACTGGTCCCTTTCCCAGAATATTGTTTCTAAATGCATAATACAGAACACACAGGATTACAAAAAAAAAAAATCAATTATGTTTAAATAAAATGTTGATCAAAATATGTTAAAAAAATATCAAATTTGTGACATAGTAATATCTGTGGTTTTTTATGTTCTCTGTGTGAAATTTTTTAATTGAGATATAGTTTATGTACAATATAAGTTCTGAGTGTACAACATAAAGAGTCACAAATTTTTAAAGTTATATACCCTTTTATAGTTATAAAATATCAACTATATACCCTGTGTTGTACGATATAACCTTGTAGCTTATTTATTTTATATGTAGAATTTGCCTGCACCACTGAGTGGTATGCAGGAGTTCCCCCAACTAGGGGTCACACTTGCACCCCCTGCAACAGAAGTGCAGAATCATAACCACTGGACCACCATGGAAGCCCTTAGCTTGTACTTTTTAATCCCCTATGCCTATATTGTGCCTCCTCCCTCCTCTATACACTGGTCATCACTCATTTGTTCTCGATATCTGTAAGTGTGCTTCCCTTTTGCTATTTTCTCTTCCTTGTTTTAGTTTTTATATTCCACATATACATGATATCATACAGTATTTGCCTTCATCTGACTTATTTCACTTAGCATGAAAGTGAAAGTGTTAGTTGCTCAATCCTGTCTGACTCTTTGCAACCCCATGGACCCGCCAGAGTAGCCTGCCAGGCTCCTCTGTCCATGGGATTCTCCAGGCAAGAATACTGGAAGGGTTGTTATACTTTCCTCAAGTGCATGCTCTCCTCAAGTAAACACTACTCACTTTTTTTTTTTTTTTCGCAAAAAAAGGGAAGTTTATTGCTGACTCGAGTCAGGGCTCCCACCACGCGTCCAACGCAGTGGCACGGGGTCAGAGAGCGCTGAGCTCAAGCTGTTACCCAATTTATAAGGTGTGCATAAGCAGTTGGTAGCTGGCTTAAGCGGATTGGTTACATGTTTGCAAAGTAATCTTATTGGCCCAAACCTTTGCGGGCTTTTTTCAAACTTGGGCGTTTGCGGGCTTTTCAGCTTTCCCCTGATAGGTTCCCTTTTTCTTGCTAGGTGCATGTTGATTGGCTGGCTCCAGGTTACCTGATGGGGGCGGGGAATCCCACCATTTCAGGGGAAACTGAAACCCAGGGCTGCCAGCCCCGGCAGCCCCACATTCCCCCCTGTCTTTGTTTCTATGGAAGGCCCAATCATGGGTCTTTTATATCATCTGTGGGGACAGTCGAATATTGAGATCTGAGTAACATTAGGTGGATGGACAGGCAGTGTGTTTTTCCTAACAACTCCCCCTTGAGAGACTTCATTAAGATGCCTAAAATATTAGGCTAAATATTAACCAAACTCAAGCACATGGAGGTCAAGAAGCAATAGTTAGAACTGGGCATGGAACAATGGACTGGTTCAAAATTGGGAAAGGAGTATGTCAAGGCTGTATATTGTCACCCTGCTTATTTAACTTCTGTGCCGAGCACATCATGTGAAATGTTGGACTGGATGAATGACAAGCTGCAATCAAGATTGCTGGGAGAAACATCGATAACCTCAGATATGCAGATGACACCACCCTCATGGAAGAAAGTGAAGAGGAGCTGAAGAGCCTCTTGATGAAAGTGAAAGAGGAGAGTGAAAATGCTGGCTTAAAACTCAACATTCAAAAAACGAAGATCATGGCATCTGGTCCCATCACTTCATGGCAAATAGATGGGGAAACAAGGGAAACAGAGACAGACTTTCTTGGGCTCCAAAATCACTGCAGATGGTGACTGCAGTCATGAAATTAAGACACTTGCTCCTTGGAAGAAATGCTATGATAAACCTAGACAGTGTACTAAAAAGCATAGACCTTACTTTGCCGACAAAGGTCCATATAGTCAAAGCTATGGTTTTTCCAGTAGTCATTTATGGATGTGAGAGCTGGACCATAAAGTAGGCTGAACACTGAAGAACTGATGCTTTTGAACTGTGGTGTTGAAGACTCTTGAGAGTTCCTTGGACTGCAAGGAGACCAAATCAGTCAATCTTAAAGGAAATCAGTCCTGAATATCCATTGGAAGGACTGATGCTGAAGCTGAAGCTCCAATACTTTGGACACCTGATGAGAAGAGCTGATTCCTTAGAAAAGACCCTGATGTTGGGAAAGATTGAAGGCAGGAGGAGAAGGGGACGACAGAGGATGAGATGGTTGGATTGCATCACTGACTCAATGTACATGAGTTTGAGCAATCTCTGGAGGATGGTGAAGGACAGGAAAGTCTGGCGTGCTGCAGTCCATGGCGTCGCAAAGAGTCACAACTGAGTGACTGAACAACAACATCTGATCAAGTAAGTTGTTACAAATTCTTCAAGGGGAAAAACGTGTCTTACGTTTTCTTTTTGTATTTAGAATATACCTTGCAAAGTGACACGCATAGAGCAGAAACTTACTATTTGCATATTGAAAGAAATGACAGGCTATAAAATACCAATATTCATTGTGCACCCTTTGAAAACCTTAATCATAAATAAATCATAAATTATTTGAGTTTTTACTTCATTCATCCTTTTACTCTTCAGAAAGGAAGATGTGAATGAGAAAGAAGACAAATAGAATGGGGCTTCCCAGGTGGCACTGGTGGTAAAGAACCCACCTGCCAAAGCAGGAAATGTAAGAGATGTGGATTCAATCCCTGGGTCGGGAAGATCCCCTGGAGGAGGGCATGGCAACCCACTCCAATATTCTTGCCTGGAGAACTCCATGGACAGAGGAGCCTGGCAGGCTCTGTGGTCTATAGGGTTGCAGAGCTGGACAAGACAGCAATTTAGCGCGCACACACACACACACACACACACACAAATTATTCCATAGAAAACTTGTGAGTTTCATGAAACCTTATAATTGTAAATTAATAGATTGTTTTGCCCAGTTATCTGCCAGATTAACGCCACGTTTTTACTATATGGCCACCTAGCTCTAAAGACTCTATGGCAGCGAACTGACTACTTCTTGAGACAATTTTTTGTAATCATGTGCTGTTAGGAAGCACTTCTTTAGAATGAGGAATATTTGTCTTCTTTCACTTTTAGGAAATCTTTGTGGAAGAATGAGTTGCAGAGTACCACGAGTCAAGAATTTTGCCTGAAGGGTTCTCTGTCTGAGAACTGGAGGAAACAGAAAAACACATTGATTCTCACTGTAGCCACAACTAAAATGATGGCAACAAAATAACTTTTGTGACTAAGTCATCATCTTTTGAAAAAGATTCTATTGCAGAGTTTATCAGATGACATGTCTGAGTCAAGCATAACAGATTTGAATCCTTGTTTTAACTTGATGAACTGCTGTAAATCGCTAACTGCTTTTTAAGTTGTCAATCCTCTGAAAAGTGGCAGTAGTATTATTTCTGGGCTTCCCAGGTGGCATGAGTGGTAAAGAAGTTTATTATCCCACATAATAAAAAGTTTGGAAGTGGAGATATTTTAGGATTTGACTTACAGGATTCAACCACGTCATCAGAGGTCCAGGTTGTTTTTTCGTCTTTCTGACTTAGCTTTCCTCATCAGGTTGCTTTTATTCTCCGGCTTGTCAAGATGTTCAAACAGCTTCAAATATCATGTCTACACAATAAGACCACATTAGGTCTTCTCTTGTATCTCCCTGGTCAAGATACACCATCACATGCTCATTTCATATACCAGTTATTGGAAAGGGGATGAGATTACTGTAATTGACTTAATTAATTAAGTATTACCTTCTGGGGCTGGGAAGGATTACTCCACCCTTTTCTAGGAGGTGGCTACCTGATTACTGTACAAAGAATATTAACAAAGAAAGCATGGGTGTTCGCCTTGGTAGCACATATACTAAAATTGGGATGATACAGAGAAGATTAGCATGGCCCTTGTGCAAGGATGACACGCAAATTCGTGAAGCGTTCCATATTTTGACACCACACTGAAGACCAAGTCCCAGACCAAATTCTACCTGGAGTTCCACTCCAGCTGCTTGGAGAGTTTTGTCAAGAGTCAGGAAGGAGAAAACGAAGAAGGAAGTGAAGGGGAGTTGGTGGTGAAGTTTGGCGAGACCCTCCTGAAGCTGAAGCCCATCATCTCTGACCCCAAGTACCTGCTGGACCAGCATATCCTCATCAGCATTAAGTCCTCCGACAGCGACGAATCCTATGGCGAGGGCTGCATTGCCCTTCGGTTAGAAGCTACGGAAACTCAGCTCCCCATCTACACTCCTCTCACCCACCACGGAGAGATGATGGGTCACTTCCGGGGGGACATTAAGCTGCAGACCTCCCAGGGCAAGATGAGGGAGAAGCTCTATGACTTTGTGAAGACGGAGAGGGATGAATCCAGTGGACCCAAGTCCCTGAAAAGCCTTACCAGCCATGACCCCATGAAGCAGTGGGAACCTGCCAACAGGGTCCCTCCATGCAGTAGCTCCGGCATCACGGAAATCATCAACCCCAGCTACATGGGGGTGGGGGCCTTTGGGTACTTGAAGCAGACCCTGTCCCCTGACCAGCAGCCCACTTCCTAGAGCTATGATCAGCCGCCCAAGGACTCCGCCCTGGGACCTGGAAGGGGAGACAGCTCCACAACACCACCCTCCCCACCACCCATATCACCCAAGAAGTTTACATCGTCAACGGCAACCCGGGGCCCCTGCCTCAGGACGCAGGAGTCAGTGCCCGGCGATGTGGCAAAGAGTTGTAGGGGAACCTTTGCCTCCGGAGGAGCTGCAGCTGACCAAGCCCGAGATGTTTGAGAACCCCCCTGTACGGGTCTGTGAGCGCATTCCCGAAGCCGGCTCCCAGGAAAGAGCAGGAGTCCCCAAAGATGCTGAGGAAGGAGCCCCCGCCCTGCCTGGACCTGGGAATCGTGTCACCCAGCATCCTCCTCTCCAAAGCCCAGGAAGCCGAGGGCGGCAAGGGGACCGGCAAGCTGGCGCCCCCTCCCACCCACTTCCTCAGCCCCACCTCCCGGGTCCGCTCCTTCACCTGCTCCACCTCCGATGGCAGCCCGCCAGGCGGGGACAAGAGCCAAGCGAAGCCCAAGGCCCCGGCCGGCCCGGAGGTTCCGGTGCTGGTCAAGAGGCCCATCAAGCCTTCCAGGTCGGAACTCAGCCAGCAGCCCCTGCCCGCCCAGGGACAGCGGCCGCCCCTCCCGGTCAACAGCCCGGCCGTCCTGCACCTGCAGCACTCCAAGGGCCGCGACTACCGCGACAAGGCCGAGCTGCCCCACCACGCCGAGCACCGGCCGGAGGACGCGCCGCTCAGGCGGACCGCCATGCGTGAAGCCCTTGGTGAGCCGCCAGTGAGACAGGAGCCCAGAAGAGCAATGCGAAGCCACTAGGACCCTCTCCCAGGACTCCTGTTCACTCCTCCTACCCAGCTTCCTGCGCGGGGCTTCGTGTTTTTCCGGAGAGGGCCTAGCTTCTGTGTGGTCAGCAGGGCGCACTGGCTGTGAAACCTGACCGTCAGTGCTGAAGTTGGAAGAAGCAGCACACCGGATGGGCACCCAACAACCCGCACACTTGGGCCGCCAGCTTGATCTTGGTACTTGGGACCCAAGAGCCTTGTTGCGGCTCGCATTTCGAAGAAAGGAACTAGAGTGCTGATTCCTGGGTGGAGATACAAGTAATAATAATATTAATAATAATAATGGCTACATGTGCAGAGTACTCAGCACATGCCAGGTACTGTGCTAAGTGCTTTATGAACATTATAAGTGGAGTCTTCAGTCAACTAAAACCACATTCCCAGACCGCCCCACCCCCTTCCAGTTCAAAACAGTATGTCCTGAGTGGTTTGGACAAAGCATTAAAAATTAAGGCCAGTGCCCTCCTGGAATGAGGCAGGGCTTGACCTTTAGGGAGCTCTGAGTGTGTGGTTAATTTGGGTACAGTGAACCTGGCCTTGTCTAGCTTCAGTGATGCAAACTGCTATAGCTAAAGCCGCTGGGATCCAGCTGAGCCCGTGTGAACGGGGGTCTCTCTGGGTCACCCGAGTTCTTCAGTCAGAAGTAGAAGGAAAATAAATTCCTGCTCTCCAGTAAAGAGATCCGGCGTCAGCCCACACTGGCGATGCCAGGCTTGTGCCAAGTGCCCTGTGCCCTGCTCCAGGTGGGCAGGCACCGCGAGGCCATGGAACGAGCCGTGCCACGAGCCGTTTCTCATCGCGCTGATGGAAAAGTCTTTGCTCTTCCTTAGTTGCTACAGAAAACCAGCTTTCCCACTCGCTGCTGGGGAGGGTGGGCCTCTTGGTTCCTGGCCCTCAAAGCAGTCTTTTCTTTCTGAACTCTGTGGCTTTTGGCCCTGCTTCCTTGGTTACTAGGAGGATGGACTGGTGACGTTTTTGTGTGTCTGTTGCTTTTTGACCTAACGAAATTAGTGTAGGAAACCAAATCCAGAAGTGTGCGTGAATTCAGGAGGATGGATACACATCTCACATCCCCACGTCTGTCAGTCCGCGTGACCAATAAATTGTGCTTTTCTCAGCCCCCCCCCCACAAAAAAAAGAAAGTATGGAGAAATGAATGCTTGAAGTTAACCATTAGTCTGCCATATTGCCCTTCACATGCTTCATTGTTATGAAATCAAGAAAAATGTAGGATTATGGTGCAGTGGCTATAACATGACTCCACTAAATCTTTATTGTGTATGGTCTTGGACAAGTCATGTAGCCTTTCAAGCCCCCGTTTTTCTATCTGGAAAATGGAGGTGAATAATTATACCTTAATTATACCTTAATAATTAGACTCTCTTCAATTTTTATTTAAACTTGTAAATAGTGTATTATAATGACATGATGATTTCTTATGAAGATTAGAATTATTCCACTTTTTAGTTTCAAAGTTGACAATTGAAACTGGCTGTTTTATGGTTTCTCATATTGTAAAAATAAAAAGGGATAACTGTGTACTATAATCAAAACTTAGAAAAGTGCATACAATATAAAGGGACAGATTAATAAGTAGATGTAAATGAATACTTGTGTAGTCCCTGCCCAGAAATATCCATTTGAGTATCCCAGAAGCTCCATGTCTTCATAGAATCTTTAAACACACATTTCTTTTTTTAGCAAATCAATATAGTTTTTAAAAGTACCTAGTAGTTTGACATTGTGTCATAACTATCTCAGACTATTTTATATTCTTTATTGGTCATTATTTTTTATATTCTCCTGCAGTAATAATTATCATTGCACAGCATTTATTGTGTGTATGTTTGGCACTGTGCCATGCGTGATTCTTTCTCTTCATAAAGACACTCCTAAGTATGACATTCTTCCCACCATGAGAAGATCAAATTATTATAACTGTGACCTTTTTCTGCTAGTTCCAAGTCTCAAAATTTCAGATTATTGTGAATTAAAGCAAAATTTTCACATTTGCAGAATGATTTATCTCCAATTTTTTTTTTTAACACAAAGACTTGTCAATGATTAACAAATGGTTAACAAAATTGTCTTTTAGAAGATAAGTTTTCAGCAGACTTTCTCTTTTTTCTATTCATTTGCATGCACGCTAATTCCCTTCAGTTGTGTCCAACTCTGGGTAACCTTATGAACTATAGCCTGCCAGGCTTCTCGGTCCATGGGGTTCTCCAGACAAGAGCCCAGGGGTCAAATCTGCATCTCTTACATCTCCTGTATTGGCAGGTGAGTTCTTTACCACTGGCGCCACCTGGGAAGTCCCTCTGTTCATTTAGTCTTTCTTTTCACTCATGAATAGCACCTCCAAACTTTGCATTATGCCTTGGTGCTCATTGCTGTATAAATTTTTAAGTAGTTTAGTAATGATTGGACTTGAGAACTTCTACTTTCAATGAAAATTGAGTAATAGGGATTGGATTTACCCTCCCTCCTTAAACAACTAAAAACTGTATAGTGAAACGACAACCCTCAAGGTATTGGACATCAGGCAACGAAGCCTGCTGTCCCTGATAGATGGAAAACAAATAAAATGATCTTTGCAACTGTCCCAGTTTATTTCCTTTAGGAAGTTTCTAGATTTCAGTACATAAAGTAGAACATAAGAAGATGTACCCAGTCTCTCTGAGGTGAAGAGGCCATCTGGGGAAAACAGTGCAGCTAGAATGGGAAGGACAGAATACCAAACATGAGAGATCCTAAAAGGGAAAAGAATGCCAGAGATGAGCAAGCATGTGGGAGGAAATTCAGGGCTGGGAAAGAACCATTCAAGAGCATTAAGGAAAATAGTGTCTGAAACTCACACAGGGCCAGGAATAATACCTGTTCCCAGTGGCCAGAGTGGAAAATCTCATAATTCAGGAGGTATCAGATAGATTACTAAGAAGGGTCTTTTCCTAAGTATCACAGAAAATAAAGTAAAACCTGGACTAAAGCAAAACCTAGACTAAACGAGGTAGTTCTAGTTCTACCTAACTAAGCAAGGCCTGAAAGGCTCAAACTGTTTTCAAGTAATTTAACTTCACAGAATAAAGTTCAAAAATATTTATAGGAATACAAAAAAAAACTAACATCTAACAAAGTGAAGTTCAAAATGCTGGTACCCATAAAAAATTGTCAACATGTGAAGAAGCATGCAAATACAGCAAATAATGAGGAGCAAAATCAATCAAAACTGACACTGAAATGACACAGATGACAGTATCAGTTGACAAAGACATGAAAGCAATCACCATCACTGTATTCCATATATTCAAGAAGCCAGAAGAATTTGTTAAGTAGAAACATGGAAGATATACAAATCATCCAAATCAGTTTTCTAGAGATAAAAACCATAGTGTCTGAGATGAAAAAAATATATGAAATGAGATTAAGCATAGATTAGATATTGTAGAAGAAAAGACCAATAAATTTGAAGACACAGCAGTAGAAACTACTCAAAATGATACACAGAGTAAAAAGACCGAAAAGAACAGAACATCAGTGATTAGTGGTACAACTTCAAATGGACAAGCATACATGTCATTGTAGTGCCCATGGTAAGGATGTAGAATGAGGGAGGGCAGAAAATACAGTGGAAGAAATGATGGTTAGAAGCTTTATAAATTTGATGAAAACTGTATATTCACAGATATAAACAGATCAACAAATTCCAAGCGCAAGAAACTTGAAAATTACATCAAAGCACAAAACAATCTATTTGCTTAAAACCAGTGAAAAAAAGAATATGTTAAAAGTAACTACTGAGCTTGAAACTCTTCTGATTTCTCCAGATCAGTTCATACACACACACACACACACATACACATTTTCCGTCTTTCTCTCCTTCATAACACACACACACTCTTTAATTAATTCGAATGAAGTCCTTCTATCCCCAGCATTTGTTTTGATTAAAACTAAGCATATACTTCGTGTAACTGCAGAAGGACAGTCTGTATTTTAATTCGTCTAATCTGATTTGGAAAAAGCATATCTCCTTAACTGTAAGAACTTAAACTCCAGGGAGACAGCTGTTTCCATGTTCTTGCCTGGGAATCAGGCCCCCAGCAAATGTTTCACATGCATGTACATTGCCTTTAAGCTCTTGATCTTTATCTACAGCAATTAGGGTGCTTTGACACCTGGTGTCTCCTTGATGAGATCTTTCATAAAAGTTCTAAAGTGTTAAGAAACAAAATGGTGAGGATGAGCAGCCTCTTTGATGGAACAAAGGGCCCTTCATCAGATCAGACAACTGTTGAGGAACAGAACAGACATTTCCAACCGTGGATGATAAGGGGAGGCACTGAAGAAGCACGAAATGAATGTAAGAGATCAGTTTGCTCTCTCTTGCTTCCCTTGTGCTCAGCTGGTAAAGAATCCGCCTGCAATGCAGGAGACCTGGTTTGATCCATGGGTTGGGAAGATCCCCTGGAGAAGGGAAAGGCTACCCACTGCAGCAGTCCATGGGGTCACAGAGTCAGACACGACTGAGTGACTTTCACTTTCACTTTTCTATAGTTACAAAATAACAGAAGCCCCAGGAGCGGCTGAAACTTGCCTGGTTCCTAGATTAGAAATCACTGACTGATTTAATGAAATCACAATTTGACCAAATTATTTGATCATCTCCATCATATTGGTTGCAGTGGAGCTTGTGCCAAATGTTATTGCCAGGTAAACATTTTAACGTTAGTCCTTGACCACTTGAGGCCCAAAGTCCTTAACAATGGCTCCAAATAACTTATTCTGAAATTTTCAGACCATTGAAGTACTTTGATTATTCCCTGTCCACACTCTATGTTCCTCCATAATCTGCTTTCTCATGTCTCCTGTAATTTTGCAATAGCTGTTTTCATAAACAAATAACATACCAGGTAACACTGCAAATTCTTTATGATGTGAAAATGCCACCTTACCATTGAACAGTACATACGCCTT